AGCAGTCATCAGAAGACCAGGTGTGTTTCCAATCACACTCGCATCACGCTCTCTAACACGTGGACCCGCATCACAACGTCTCCACCGGCGGAGTGGCCTCGAGCAAACCTCGAGTCAGGGAGGCGAGCGCACCCGCTGCCGCCTCTCACCGCCGCAGCCTAGTCTTGGCCGGAGGCACGAATGGTCGAGTTGTGGGCGAGGCAGGGCTCGCCGTTGAGGTGGGCGTTGAGGCACCCGGGCTTGGTCGCGGGGTTGCACAGGCGCACCCCGCAGGTGATGCAGGCGTGGGTGGCGCCTCTGGTGTTGCACGCCAGCACGCCGCAGCGGGCGCGCTTGTCCGCCGTGACGAGCTCGTGCCGGGCGCTGCGCGAGCCACGAAGGAGCGTGAGCGTCGCCTCCGCGAGCTCCCGTTTGGACATGCTGGCGACCGGCGAGCTCATCGCGTCGCGAAGCGACATGCCCGGAGTGGAGGTCGGCGTCTTCTTCTTCTTCTTCTTCTTCTTCTTCGGCTCATCAGGCGGCGAGCCGGACTCGCTCGCCGGCTGCGACGCCTGACTCGCCGCCTTGTCGGCCCTTTTTGCCCGCTTTGCAGCCTTGCGCCCCGCCTCTTCCTCCCCGGCGGCAGCAGACGGGCTGCCTGAGGCCGACGACTGCGACGAGGGCGAGGCAGCGACCGCCGTCGACTGCTCGCTGGCCGGCGTGGACATGTGCGAGGGCGCCGAGCTCGACGCACGGTTGCGGACGGAGGGGCAATCGCCTCTCTTCATCCGTCAAGCGGGTCAAAGCCGCCCGCCCACTTTCGGAGGACACTTTGCAAGAAAGAATTTTGGAATCGGAAATTTTTGCCCGGTAAAAGAAAAAAAGGAAGCCCCGCCGCCTCAGAAAGGGGTTGTTGTTGTTGTTTCTTGCTCCGCGGCAGTCCTTCAAGTAGTCTTCCGTCACGCGTCGCGAAGTCACGCGTCGACGTCCAGCGACCCGCGCCAGCCTCCGCCGCACGCAGAGGCGATCGGTGCGGCTCTCGGGCCGCTCCATCAGATGACGCCCTCAGACGAGGAGCTCGTGTCGCGGATGCAGAATGGCGCTCAGCCTTCATCGCCGCCTCGCTCATCGGGGCTTGCGCCATCTAGCGGCAGACTGTGGAGTCTTCTCGCGAGCCCCTTTCGATTGGTGCTCGCCGCGGCGCAACGCCGACGCGATAGACGCGCGAGCGAGAGCATCGCGGCCGACGTGGCCGCGCTGCGCGATGCTCCGTCGCCCAGCATGGTGCCACGACCCGGCGCGTCGAGCAGCTTCACCCCGCCACGGCACATACGGTTCTGGAGCACTCCGGAGAGTCGGGGCCGAGAGCCCCCGGCGCGCGGCAGCCGCTCCCGCTCCGTACCGCGACGCTGGTTCTGGCGGTCGAGGTCGCAGCAGCCTTCGCCGGATTCTCCGGTTGGCGATTCTCCGATTGGCGGGCCGAGCTCTGCTCCGGCGGCGTTGGCCGCGCCTCGCCCGACCGGGAACGCAGGCGCGCGACGAAGGCTGGCCTACGGGGGAGCAGCCGCGAGCGGGGGAGGAGCCGTGAGCGGCCCCGCAGCCGTGGAGGGCATCACGACCGGGTTCGACGGCATGCAGGTGGACGAGCCGCCGGCCAGTGGTGCCGCTGCTGCCGCTCCCGACGCCGCGGGCCCATCGGGTGCGGCGGAGTATTTGGAGGGGTCGGTCGGAACGCTGGCACCTGCCTGCTCTGGCGACGTCACCGATCACGCTGATGCTGCAGCTGCTATGGAGGTCGACGCCAGCGGCGCTGCAGCGGCGAGCAAGATCGAGCTAGTGGCGTATCTGTTCGACGCATGGTTCGACGCCGGGGCGAGCGACTTCGTCCCCCGCCGCCAGCTGCCGCTCAAGGTTGACGAGCCGGTGACCATCGGGCGCGACTCGACGTGCGACATTGCCCTCCCAAACAGCCTGCGGGTTGCTCCGTTGCACGCTAAGGTCGTCCTGCTCGAGAGCGGCACGGTGCTCGTCACGACGTACGGCACCAACGTCTGCTCCATATCTACGCTCCGCCGCGACGCCCGAGGCGCGCACCACAGGCTGCGGCAGGGCTTCCCGGCGGTGTTGGGGTTTCGGCAGATGTTGTACGTGCCGCAGAGTGACGGTTACGGCGGCTGCTGCATCGCGTGGCTTCGCCAGCCTGCGATGAACATGTCGACCGAGCCGGCCGAGCCGGGGGCGGGCGACGAGGCGATGAGCGCGGGCGAGCCCGAGCCGGCGCCCGAGCCCACCGCGTCGAGCGACGGCGCCGCCTCGCCTGCGGCTGGGCTCCCACCCACCTCGAGCTGCGGCGCGTCGCCGATGCCCGCCTCGCCGCAGGAGCCGTCGCTTCCGGCGGGCAGCGGGGCGTCGGCGGCGGGCCCCTCTGCGCCGGCGGCGCTCGACGTGGGGCCGGGCGGGCCGCCCGAGGAGGCGCGTGTCGGCGGGTCCGCGCCCTTTGCGCCTGCGCCGAGCGGGGCGGCCGTCCCCTCCTCCGCCGCCGGACCCGCCGCCGCCGCGCCCGGCGAGGGGGGCGTCGGAGGCGCCGCGGCGGCCGCCGCCGGCGATGGCTCCGCCAGAGGCGCCGCCTCCGGTGGCGAGGGCGACTTTTACTGGAGCGAGGCGGAGGAGGCCCGCCTGCGACAGCACGTCGAGAGCCTCGGCGCCGTCACGAGGGTGCCGCCACGCTTTTGGGCGGACGCGGCGGAGCTCTTCCCGGGACGGACGAGTGAGGCGCTGAGGCGCCACTGGGCCACAATACGGGCGGGAGGAGGTGGCGGGCAGCGGTGGCATATGTGGACGCAGGCAGAGGAGGACCAGCTGCTGACTTTGGTGGACGAGTCGGAGCCCAACTACTCGCGGGCTTACGCTGCGTTCGCCGACTCTCGCTCGAAAAAAGCCGTTCGACGGCGCTACTTGGAGCTGACTAGCCCGCGCGACTGGGTCCAGTGCGTCGCTTGCGAGAAGTGGCGGCACCTAAACCCGCCGCAGCCCTTCCACAAACTTCGGGGCGAGTGGTACTGCTTCATGAACTCCGACGGCGATCGCAACTTCTGCGCCGCGCCGGAGGAGGAGTCGGAGGAAATTGTCGAGAGGCGCGACAAGGTGCTGCGCGTGGCCGCGGACAAGGGGCTGACGCTGTTCAAGAGCTGCATCGCCGCTTCCGGCTACAAGCACGTGCAGCTGGATCCTCGCGATGGGTTCTACCGTGCCTGCCACACCATCGATGGCAAGGAAACTTCCTACTACGGCCACCCGCCGTGGCGCATTCCCGAGGAGGCGGCGCTCCACTACGCGAACACGGAGCATGGCCGCGCTGCCGCCACCGCCGCCGCCACCGCCGCCGCCTCCGCGCCTCTCTCCGCAGCCGAGGCGGTGGCCGAGGCGGAGGCGGAGAAGCTCGAGCTTCTCCGCTCCAAGAACCGAGCCGGGTACGAGGGCGTGACGCCCACGCCGGCGGGGCGGTTTCGGGCGCGAGCAATGGTCGACGGCAACGAGCACTACCTCGGCACCTTCGTCACCGCCGAGGAGGCGGCGCTCGTCTACGCCCGCTGGCGGCGAGAGCACGACGCCGCCCCCGTCACGCTCGAGAGCGCCGTCGAGCGACTCCACCTCGGCCTGTTCAAAGCCGTCGACGAGGAGACGCGGGCTCGCCTCGTCGCCTGCCTCTCCAAGCCCATCCTCGACGACCTCAAGGCGGCTGTCGACGCTCGGAAATCGACCGCGGAGAAGCTGAAGCTGGTGAGGGACCGCCTCACTTTCTCGGGAGGCTCCGAGGCGCGCCGCCCTGGCTTCACCCAGCACCCGCCGCGGGCTCGAACTCGTATCTCTCTCCGCAACCCCCGCCCCCGATCCGGCTGCAGGAGGAGGCGGCGGAGCTGCTGCACGAGTGCACCCTCCGCGGCGTTGCCAAGGTGTGCGGCGCGGAGGAGGACCTCGAGTCGCCGCACCGGCATACGCTGTACTCGCTGTGCGCAACGGGCACCACCAAGGTGTGCACCGTCTTCGTCGCCCTCGCGGCGGAGCTGCGGCTGCTCGCCAACTGCGGCAAGACGGGCGGCCTCTCGCAGGAGCAGTTTTACGCCATGGCCGCCGCCTCCGAGCAGGCGGGCCGGGTGTGCGCCGCTCGCGGCCACTACAACTCGGTCGGCGTGACGCCGCGCTCCATCTTTGCGAGCCGCAAAGTCCCGCGCGCGCATGTGTGCGAGGCGCTGCGCGTCGTCAAGGCAAACCCGCCTGCCTGCGCCGACGCGTTGAGTCGGGCGTGGACGGAGTACCTCTTCTACTCGCTCCACGACCGCTACTCGCCGCACGAGCTCTACTCGACCGACGGCACGGAGGCGGGCTTCAAGGCGGGCGACTCGGGCAACGAGAACGTACGGCGGGACGGCCAGTTCGACCCAGCGACGCGGCGGCGCTACGGTGGGCGCTTCCACGACCTCATCGTGCGCCACGGAGGGGAGGCGTACTTCGAGGGATCCGGGCCGCGCATGTGGCGCGTCCTCGCCGAGTTCATCATCGACTGGCTGGCGTGCGAGGTGCTGAGCGAGCCGTCGCTCAAGTTTGAGCCGAACAAGGCGACGGGCGAGGAGGGCTTCCTCGGGCTGGCGGCCAACGCGGAGATGGCGCTGCAGACGGTGGCGGACAAGGTGGTGGCGGAGAAGGTGGCGGGCGAGACGCTCTTCAAGGGCGTTTTCGGCGCGTGGGGCCTGCGGCTGCGCCCGAACGCGGAGTGGAAGCACGCGTCACTGTAGGCTCGAGCGTGCGCTTGTGTCTTTTTGTGTCTGAAAATCGTTATGCGATTGTACACTGGGGTTCTGTACGAGTGACTCGTCGTGCGATTGTGCGACCGAGTACCTCTCCCTTTCTGTATCCTTAGAGGTGTGATCGAAAGCACATCAGGCACCAGACGTACTGAGGGAGTGTGATCGAAAACACATTATCGGCCGGATCGCGGGCGCGGGCCGCCCCGAAGCGCCTCGATGTCGCTTCCTATCGGCCAAAGGCGCTTGACGCCGGTGGTCATATTATCGCTGGTTGTCGCCGCGGCTCTGGGCAAGAAGACTCGGCCGACGGGGTCGCTGCAGGCGCTTTACGATTTCTCGCGCGCCGACTGCCTCGCGGGCAGCTTTGGCAAGTCCAGCGGGAAGTCGGCCAGCTTGGGCGCGGTCGCCGTCGCTGGTTCGGGGAGCCACTGCCTCGAGGGCGTGGGCCTGGGAATGGACGGAGCGCGGTCTGGCACGGCGGCCGCCTCCGCCGGCACCATCTCTGACGCGCTCCCCGCCATCACCTCGTCCGGCGCATACTCTCTCGAGGTTTGGGTGCGCGCCGCGCCGCAGTCGAGCGACGCTTCCCTCCCGATCCTGGCGATCGGGACGGAGGGCGCCTTCCAGGATTCGAGCCCCTGCGACAAGGACCTCTTTGGCGTCGCGCTCATGCAGCGCGGCAACAAGGTCGAGGTGCAGCTCGCCTCGTCGTCCTATTCGTCTCGGGCCGACTCGTACAACTGCATCGTGATCGGGCCGGAAGTGCACGCGGGAAGCTCCGACTTCTTTACCGCCACCGCCGCCGACCTCGGCCCGCCCGTGCAGATCATGGTCGTCGTCCAGACCGGCAAGCCTGCCAAGGTGTACCACAACGGCAAGCCGGTCGCCGGGCTGATCGATGCCCTCAGCGCTCAGCAGTCGGACGTGTCGACCTACGCCTTGCAGCCGCAGTTCGACCTGTGGACGGACGCGTACAAGCTTCTCCTCGGGCCGGTCCCCTACACCAAGGGCGCCAAGGTCGGCTGGGACGGCGAGCTCCTCCTAGTCGCGATGCACTCGTCTGCGCTGACCGCGGCGCAGGTCCAGGACTCGTACTCGGCGTGGCTTGCCGACTCGGCGCCGCTCGCGGGGGAGCTGGCGCTCACGACGGTGGAGGACACGCCGTTCCTGATCACTCTCAACGGGACCGACCCCTTCGACGCAAAGTACAACCCGACCGGCGCCTCCAAGCTCTCGTACACCGTGACCAAGCTGCCGGCGCCGGAGCACGGCTTCCTCATCGCGGGCCACGCGGGCGCAAAGGCGCCGCCGTCGGGCGCGACGCCGCTGACCGGGCCGACGAAGCTGAGCAGCGCGAGCCTCTGGTTCACGCCCTACCCGGACCTCTTCGGCACCGCCGCAGCCACCTTCGAGTACCAGGTCTCCGACTCGAAGGGCGGCGCCTCGGAGGCGGCGACCGTCACGATTGACATCACGCCGGTGCGGCGGAAGGGAAAAG